CATCTTTGGTGTTCGGTTTTTTTCTTGAGAATACTGCCAAAAATTCTTAAATAATATACAGAACCAAAATTTGTTGTCCACATTCGGCGCTCGACTCCTAAAACTACCTTCATAAGTATGAAAAAATATAAGTGTCTATTTTCTAATATATATATATAATTTTTAATAATTTTAATAAAGTAATTTCATATTTTTTGTGTCTTTTATTGTGCCGGATTTAATCTTTTAAACTTTTTATGCATGTGATTATAAAACTTTCTCCCTCACATTTTCCTTCACACTTTATCCAGGCTTAGGACTGGCAGCACTTTTTGTGCCGGCGTGTTTAAAAATGTGGGATTTTTCCCTATTATACAATTAATCTATTTTATCTTTCATTATTCCTCATTGAATCTATCAAAAATCTGTAATATTTGATAAATTTATACCTTACATTTTTCTTTACACTTTATTAATGCTTGAAGCTGGCTGCACTTTATGTGCTGGCTTCTTTTGTTACGTGTGGGAAAACTTTTTCGATTTGATACTTTTTCTATTGCTTCTTTTAATTCTCTTTATTGAGTTCACTAAACTGTTTAAATATTTTTATTACTTTTTTTAATTTTGAATAGTTGCTTATAATTGTACAAAATTGTATTTATAACAATAATTTCTTCATTCGAACATTTTGTATCGTTTTAAATTTTTTTTAAATTTTATAATTATTATTTTTTAAAGTTCTTGCTTTAATTTACCTTTTCTGTATGTTTAAGCTTGTACTTTGGTTAAATTAAATCTGTCACACAATTTGCAACAGAAATAAATTGATTTTGTTTCATATTTTTCAAGAAGTTTTTTTCTATTTTTTGTTGTTTTTTTCTTTGTTTTGTTTTTTAAGGCTTGTGAATACCTACAACTTTCTTCGTCACTTGTATCCTCATTGCTTATAATACATTGCATGTGCACCCAACGCTTACAAAATGTACATATTTTTTCCTCATATCCTTTTTTATGTTGTCCAAAGCAGTACATACAATAAAATTTTATGTCTTCAGATTGCAATAGCAGTGTGTGAGCTATATGCAGCCTATATTGTACTGGATCAAAAGTATTATCGAATGGTATATTTTTTCCTATACATTCTAAATAATGAGTAGTAAACGGTCCACAATTGCTATGATCATTTTCATCTTGATATGGTCTATCTAATATTTCAATTCTTCGCCACGTTATTCCTTTTAATTCATATAAACTGCTACATTCTTTTACTTTGCTTATGTACTTTAAAAAGGTTTCATATGCTCGATCACTATCATAAGATTTTCGTTTAGGATCTAACAATAAAAAAGTTTTTTCCCTTTTATCAATAACAATTACTGAATAATGTCCTCCGTAACAGTATGGTATTGCTAGTTTTGTTTTTAGTGGTGTACGAATCGTTAATATTTCAGATGTTATACTCTCTGATCTATTCTCTGAGTAATGTCCAATTGCTTTACCCGAAATATCTAGTGGCATATAAGAAACATCATTCCATGTATTCGCATGTGTAGCAGTATAGCAGTCTATTACTATTGAATTAAACCAAGACGTTTCAGGAATAATTTCACTAAACTCATGTGCAGTTAATTGAAATTTTTCATGTAATAGGAATGCATCTTTTTTGGGTTGATAGATACCTATTTTCACAGAACCTGAATGAGATAATGTATAATAAATGACATCAAATATTAATCCGTTAGGAAGTATTCGACATTTTTCAACTTTACATGTTTTTATTTTGTCAATTATTACTTCCTCTACTTTATCTTCCATGTCTACACTCTTGTAGAGTTTGTCGTTCTCAGTATCAGAAATTTTTTTATTACGATTCCATTGTTTAGTAATATTTAGTTTTTCATTTGTTGTTATTTTTTTGCCTTTATTGCTAAACGTTTGACCTTTTTTAACTTTTTAACAGTATTTTCAGCATTTAGTCCTTTCATTTTTAGTTTGTATGGTATACTTTTTTTCGTGTTTACAATATTTGTTACTTCTTTCTTCTTTAAGTTATTTAAACTTAATGTTTTTTGTTGAAATTTACTAAGATGATATTGTTTTTCGTTTTTGCTGTTTTTAGCTTTTTCAATATTACTTGCAAATTTCCTAATTTTTGCTGCACCAAACACAGTGTAGCGTTTTTGCTCCTTAGTATTTAACTCTGCAATTTCCTTACTTGTTCTTGCCCACTTTTCTGTTTCAAAAGGACTTGTAGCTACATCAGGGTAATTTGGTTTCGCTTTTATGTTGAACTAGCGATGTATTCCTCGCTCGCTAACGCACGCTCGGTTAAAATTGTACTTATTGTTGTTTACTTATTGTAGTTTATGTATATTATATATATAACTAGCTATAACAAACGCGCGTAAACGCGCGTGAAATTTTGGTGTTTTGTTTATAATCTTGAAATCATCATATTTATTAATATATTCCAATTAAAACATTCAAATTTCAAACACTTATACAAAATATAAATACTGATCCGGTGTGCTATTCTGTAATTTCTCTTCACTTCACTTTAAAGGACCCCGCACAAAATAGTATAGTATAGTATAGTATAGTATAGTATAGTATAGTATAGTATAGTAGTATAGTAGTATAGTATAACAAACATCTAAAATTACTAAAAAGATATTCTGCTTTTTGGTATCAAAAATATATTTTTAAACATAAAAAACTTAATTTCCCCTTTTGAATTTTATTTTCACTTTGAAAACTTCGAGTTTTAAATATTTAATTTCATTTAAAATTCAGAAAAAATTGCAAAAATTTTAACGCAATTGTTTATAGATGCTTGAATTTGGGTAAAATTTTCTCAAAAAAATCAATGTTGGTCATGGGTTTTACCGGGCATTGAAGTTTTGAGTATAATTTTTTTCAAAAATGCATAGCTCTGAGACGTTTTAATCGATTTTGTTCATATTTATGTGACTAATAATTGTTTTATTGATAATTTTAATGCAATAGAAAACAAAAAAAAAAATTCGGAAATTGCCCCAAAAAAAGTAAAAAAAAATTTTGATTCCACTTTTTCGGGCATAAGCACCCCTTCGATTTTTTTCTATTCATGATATTTAAATTCCTTATCTTCTCCTGAATTTTTTCAAAAAAAATTGCTGGAGACTTTAAAACTAACTAAAGTATTCAACTTTTTGTCCTGCAGCGCACGTATTTTGTATTTACACGAACGCGTCGAGCCTGAGGTCCATGTGCCGGACAATCCTATTTTATTTTTGATTTCTTAATCCTTACTATTATTTTGATTATGAAGTTATTTATACACATACTTATTTTATACTAAAGAAAAAATATGAAATAAATAATTACTATTGTTATAAACATTTTATAAACAAAGTTAACCACCCTGTAATTATCATTGTGGAAGATAAACTTTTACAAGGGTCAATTTTTCTAAAAAAAATTTAATTTAAGTCATGGGTCTTTCAATTTTTTAAACTTGGAATAAATATAGTTTTTATGAGAGAAAAATTAGGAAAAAAAATTTTTTAAATTGGAGATTTTTCCGGTCATCAAACATTGAAGAACAATTTTTAAAGGAAACATTTTTATGCATTTATAGTTGGATTTTATTTATATTTTAGGATATAATAATAGATTTACTAACAATTTAAAGTGTATTATTTAAAAAAAATTAAAAATTTATTCGTGGAATAAAAACTATTTCACCTTTAGATTTTCCAACAATAATTTCTGCAGAAATAACATTTCTTAATAAAGATTTGACAACTAATCGGGTACCATTACATAATCCTTTAACCAAATTCATATTCCTTAAAAGCATAATTATACATCCCTCCTTTAATGATAATCTATGAGGTGGTAAACCATCTGGTGTTAAACTATTTAAAACTTCCACTGGAACAATGTTATTGATGTCTTTCTGATCCTCGTCTACATGTGAATCTATACTGTAATAAACAACTTCATTTCCTTCTGAATTTGACAAAATACGATCATTCATATCTAATACCTCAGAATTTGTTAATGAAAGAATGCAAGAAGAATAAGCAGATACATCATTTCGACTTATTGATGAACCATATATTTCTTCAATTAAATTTCCATTCGAAATCAAATCTTGTGGAATTTCTAAAACGTTATTTTTCTTTTCAAATGTACTTTGATGTTTACCATCGCCGACATTTAATAACCAGTTTGAAAAGTTTATCTGATTATTATTTAATCTAACATTAACGTGTAACGACCTAGTTTGAAAAAGATGCCACAATTTACTATTTTTCACACATACTTCAACAATATGAGTCCGACTACCGTGTGGAACAATTGGCAAAATTTGCCTAAAATCTCCTGAAAGCAAAATAACTTTACCTCCAAACGGTTTCTTACATTTCGTAATATCCCTCAACATAACTTCCATTGCTTGTAAAGCATATTTAGGTGCCATTGTAATTTCGTCCCAAATAATGATTTTAGCACTTCTTAAAAGTTCACTGTGTTTTGACATCCCACTTATATTACATGTTGAATCTTCATTAATTGGTATAGGAAATTTAAACATAGAATGTGCCGTTCGTCCACCTTTTAAAAGATTCGCAGCTATACCAGTCCATGCTACTGATAAAACCACCAATCCTTCACTCTCTACAGTTGTAATTATTGTATTATGTAAATAACTTTTACCACTTCCTCCAGGTCCATCGAGATAAATATATCTATTACTACAATTATCATTATGTACTGCCATCATAATATCATTGAAAACATTACGTTGGTCATCATTCAAACTTTTAATAAGACAATCAGACTTTATTTTAAGTAATTGTAATTCTAAAGCACTATTTTCCTTACTTACTGAATTATAATCATCAAAAACTTTCTGATTAATATGTGGCAAACCAAATTGATGGAGCGAAAATCCATGAAAACTAAATACTTCATTAATTAGAATTAATGATTTTTGAATCGATACTTCCACAGGTAAATCATTCTCAAAAATCATATCTTCTTTGTATTTATTCCATAAATCAATAGCATTAACAGGCGATCCAAATACACATATGTATGCTAATAAACGACAAAGTTCTTTAGGAAACTTCATACTCACAGCTTCAGTCAAACAATTGTTCCATTCGTTATCGTCTACCATTAAATTTCTCGCACGTGCAGCTTCTGTAAAAGTGTTGTATGTAATACCTTCATAAGTTTTTATATCTTCAAATGACTTAGCACCACGTACATAAAGTAGTAAAAGTCTTAGAAAATACCTTTCAATATCTTTTGGACTAACAAAATACATTCGACAAATTAAGATTTTAGTTATTCGTTGTCTTACTTTCCAAGTTTTTGAAGATTCAACAAAAACATAGTTATGAGGTATTTCTGTATATAAATATTTGCGCGCCTCGGAATCTTCTGCATTCAATTTAAACCATGCCGTCAATGTCGTGTTTTTGAATTTGTTAACGGCTTCTTCCTCTAATCCTTCTTGAAAACATATTGATTGTTGATTAGGTAAATGTACAGCTAATCTGTATGTTGCATGTGATTGTTCATGCATAGGAAATTCGTATAATCTATGCATTGCTTCTGGTGGACATACATATCGTGTATTTAAATAATATTGAATTTCATCATATTGCATTTCTTGATTATCATCCTTGTAAACAATAAATGCACAGTCATGGCCCTTATAGCAATATTTAAATAAATATTTAATGCCACCTGTACTACTACATACCATAACAGTTATGTGACATTCAAATTTTTTACTTAAATATGGATTGTAAGGTACAATCATTGAATTATCTGCAATACACTTAATTGATCCATCTTTATTATAAAAGATAATTTGCTTACCATCTTTTCTTCTTCTATATTCTGGATAATTCTTAGAGTGATAAGATGTTTCTGAACAAAATGGCTTCGGATAATATTTCGTACAAATTTTTTTTTCAGAGTCCATGCAAGGTGAATTTATATTTTGATTACCACAAGGCCCATGGACTTGAAACTGCTTTACAATATTAAATAGCTCAGGATTCTTTATTTCATCTGGTATTTCTGCACATATTATTTTATCTACAGTTTCAGTATCACGGATCTTTTCACTTAAAAATGTAATGAAATGCACATGAGGCAATCCACGCTTTTGAAACTCTATTACATAAACAAATGCAATAACTGGACCAAAAATTTCTTCATCTTTTATTTCTTTCATTAATTCTTGTACTTTTCTCCTAAAAACTCTTGCTACAATCCCACCATTTTGGATTCATTTTGGAAGTCATGGTAATAAATAAATCTGGTCTTCCAAATTCTTGAACTAATCGCATAGCATCCATGAAAGATTGTTGATAGGAACGTGGCCCTCCAGTAAATGTTGAAGGCAAAATAACAATTTTTCCTGGTCGAACATTCTCTTCTTTAACTTTATTATTAACATAATCCATTAATCCACAATACATTTCTGCTCAAAGTTTTTTCTGTTCTAAACGAATGTATTTTAAACGCTCACCTTCTACTTTTGACCAGATGTCAACTATATATTGTTGAGTTAATTTTTCTAATGCTAAACATGGATTAAAAGTGCCTCTATATGAAAGTCGATACATATAAAACTGTAAAGGAGTAACATTACGGTTACCTTTAATATGTTTGATGTTAACAGTCCATCCAGGATCACCTGAAGGAAACATTAAAGGATACGTCATAGGATCAACATTTGCACTAAGACTGGAAATTGGAATACTTTCAGAATTCTTTGGATATATACATATATCTCGTTCCATGGGTGGTTCACCATCTTCGCTTACAAATATAACTGCTACTTCATCAGATGACGGAAGATTAAATTTCTTTTAATTCAATGATCTATCGCGTTTAATCCACATTTCAATTTTTCTAGGAGGCTTATTTAATAATTTTGCTCTTGCTTCCTCTTCAATTTCTACTTCTCGCATCATTTTAAATGCTTTAGCATATGGATTAATCTCTCGAAGTAATAGGTCTAATTCCACCAATAATACTCTTAGAATTTTTTCATTACATTTGTTTTTCAATCGTTCTTGAACAGCTTCATTTGAATCAATGACATACAATTGACCATATTTACGTCTATCATCATCTTTCGGATGTAAAGAATATGTACAATGATATACTTGACCGTGAATTCGAAAAACATACGGACCAGATCCTTTTGGAATTTCCAATTTAGCACCCATACTCGCAAAAGCTAACGAACTATTATAAAAACGAATATTTTTTTTAAAATTATTACCTTCCGAGTTAGAATTGCTCAATAAACTTTTTAAATATAATGGATAAGGATTTAGTTCATTTAATTTTACTTTCCCTTTATGGCAACATGTACTAAATTTTTTGTCTTGCGGCCTTTCGCACAAAAAATTTAATGAACTACAAAACTCACACTTAACATTCATCAAACCTAAATAATTTTGTAAAACACTATTTTCATCAAAATCTTCAAAAGAAGTCATTGCAACTTTTCATATTTTTAACGTCTTCCTATTTTGCTTACTATATTTACATGATACATTTTTTCTTCGTCGCTCTTTCTTATCAACATCCATTTCCAGAGATAATTGTTTTCTTTTACTTATTAAATTTTTATTTTGACGATCTCTTTTCTCAATTTCTGTTTCTAAAGATAGTTTTATTTTTTTGCATAACAAATTCTTTTCTTCACGATCTCGTTTCTCAATTTCTGTTTCTAAAGATAGTTTTATTTTTTTGCATAACAAATTCTTTTCTCGACGCTCTTTCTTTACAATATCCGTATCTTCACGTTTTCGCTTTCTTTGTTTATCTTCTTCTTGTCGTTTTCTTTTTTGTTCTACTGTTTCTTCAAACCTTATCTTTCTTTTTCTCTCTATATCTTTTATTGCACGATTACTCTTTTTCTCATTTTCCTCATACAAGGGAAATTCGATCATTGTATTCTCAGTAGATAATACTTTGTTTTCATCATTAAGAATATGCAGAATCTTAGATTTTGTAACTAATAAATTTTCAGATCGATCATCAAAAAGACGTCCCCAATTAGGTTCGAGAATTATAGATCTTACAACAGACGATTCTTCTGACGGAAAATGATACAAATAATTATATTTAAATATTAAATACAAATATTGTCTCATTTCAGAATGAATATAATCAATATTATTTGGCAACATATTAAAGTATACAGAAGTGGCAAATGCTATTGCAAATAATCCACAATCAGTACCATTCGGTTGTTGCTGGACAGCCACAAAAACAACTGGTGGTTCGAAAGGATACAATTTACACAAATAATCTTTTTGATGATGATTCAAACATCCATTATTTACACTATCATAAATATAAAGACTTGTACCATCATAATATGTACAAATCCAATGACCAGATTCGTGCCATCCACTGAATAAAATTTGAATATGCTGTTGTTTTTTTTCAATAGGAAGAATTAATTCTAGTGTATTTAAAAGCAACGTACTTTGCATATTAAAAGTATAATTTGAAACTCTTCTCAATAACTTTTCAAATTCGTGCATATGATTATCATTGAGCATTTCGCCCTCACTGAGAATAATAGCATAATCTTTATCACTTAAATTAACGTTATTCCTTTCCCTGTTTGACATAGTTACAATATTTTATACTGTATTTGTATTTGTACTTTCTAAATCTAGTAGTATTATTAGTGTATTTTTCTATGATCTAGTATTACTTTAAAAAACTTTATTTCATTTTTAATTTACTCTTTCATTATCATTCTTAAAATTTTCATTCAATTTTCATTTCCATTTTTCATAAATATTTTGATTTTAAGATCATAAAAATTATAATTTTAATATGTATGTATTCATTCCATTTTTGTACATCTCATTTCCTTTTTTTTCTATATTCATTTCATTTCAATCATCAAATATTTCATTTCATGTCTTATTTCATTTGTCCAATATCATATAAATATTTCTTTTCATGTCTTATTTCATTTGTCCAATATCTTTTTTTCCATACATTATTTCATTTTTACCCATCAAAATTTATTTTCCACGTCATTCTATTTTTGCCCCTCAGTTTTATTTTTCCCATTTGCTATTCCATTTTATCCCGTCTAATTTCAATTTTTCTAATTATCCAATTAATTTTCAACTTTTTAAAGTTGTACTTCGCATTAAAAACATCTTTTCTTTTTATTGTAAATTTTCACTTAACTACTGTATTTAATTTTTCACAAATTTTTTAATCACCAACAATTTTTAATAATTAGAACAGACTATTTTTCACTAACATTTTTATAATCACGGAAACACTTCTCAAATAAAAAAAAATTATTATTTTATATTTTATATTTTTATGTACAATTATATGATTATTAATTTTTCGAACTAACAATTTTTTTTAACAATTTGCATACATAAATTTTTTTAACAACACATTTTTTTTCAAACACTTGGTCACAAAATTGTTTAAACACACAAATTTTTTTAATTTCATTCACAATTATCACTTAGTCACAAATCTCTTTAAGAACAATAACTTTTTTATCAACTATAACACATTTTCAATTTATAAAAATCAATAAATTTTTCCTTAACGACTTTTTACACTAAAACTTTTTTTAACAATACATGGTTCTTTAATCACTCGGTCACAATATGTTTTAAACACAATAAATTTTTAATTTTAATCACAATTTTCACTTCGTCAAAAAAAATTTTAAGCACTTTTTTACACACTTTCATAGTTTTCTAATTAATATATTTAATATATTTTCATTAATTGATATTTATTTAATCACTATCATTACTTTTTATTAATTTTCCTTCGTTTTTCACAATCCTCTTCATCTGAGAGGACGAACGCAACTAAAGTAATAAAGTTTCAAAAATTAATAAATTTTTCCACAATTCAGGTACCTGGCTATAAACCCATTCTTGAAAAGGTCTTTAAATAATAGATAGATAACAACTCATTTGTTTTGATTTTGAAGTAACCTTTGAGGCAATTAACTTCTCTCTCTAACCATAATGCTTGAATACAAACTTTCCTTTTCTTAAGAAGAGACAAATCAGTTAAAGGACAACATAATATTATTCCCTCTCCTTACTCAAAACAATCAAATGCAATCTTTCCTCTTCTAATGGATAGAGCGAGCTCCTTTTTTCTCTCCCCCTCTCTCTACCCAAAGCTAAAACTTCTCTTTCTCTCTCAAGAAGAAAATTAATAAACCAATCAGTGAAAGGGCATTATTATTATATTATATTAATATATCTATATATATGAAATTTTTCTCTCCCCACTCAAGATAATCAACTGCAATCTTTCCTTTTCTAATGAATAAAGCGAGCTCATTTTCTCTCTCTCTCTCTCTACACCCAAAGGTAAAAGTTCTCTTTCTCTCTTAAGGAGAAAACAGCATGGGGCTGCGGACAGAATGAATGAATGAATGAAATCGAAGATTATTATTTAAAGAATTATAACATTACAATATTTCATGATATACAATATTCTTCACATATAACTTTTCAGGAAATTCTATATTTTTATATATAGCAGAATCAATAGCATGAATTTTTAGATGTTCCTTGGATTTAACTCTAGAACAACCAACATAAATTTGACCATGACCAAATGTTGAAATTGGTAAATAAATTCCTACTCTATCAAAAGATTGTCCTTGAGATTTATTAATAGTCATGGCATAAGCAAGTCTAACAGGAAATTGTCTTCTTACCATTTTGAAAGGATATGTGTCTTGAGAAGGAGATAAATCAATACGTGGAATAAAAACTATTTCACCTTTAGATTTTCCAGAAATTATTTCTGCAGAAATTACGTTTCTCAATAATGATTTTACAACTAATCGAGTCCCATTACATAATCCTTGAACTAAATTCATATTTCTCAAAAGCATAATTATACATCCTACCTTTAAAGATAATTTATGAGGAGGTAAACCATCTGGTGTCAAACTATTTAAAAATTCTATTGGAATAATATTATTTACATCTTTTGGGTCGTCATCGACATGTGAATCAACACTATAATAAACTACTTCTTGTCCTTCTAATTTTAACAAAATACGTTCATTTAGATCTAACACTTCAGAATTAGTCAATGAAAGTATGCATGATGAGTAAACAGATACATCATTTTGATTTATTGACAATCCATATATTTCATCTATTAAATTTCCGCCAGAAATCAAATCCTGTGGAATTTCTAAAACACCGTTCTCTTTTTCAAACATAGAATGAGTTTTACCGTCACCAACATTTAATAACCAATTTGAAAACTCTTCCTCTTTATTATCCAATCTAACATTAACATGTAAGGACCTAGTTTCAAAAAGATCCCACAATCTACTATTTTTCACACATACCTCAACAATGTGAGTGCGACTGCCATGCGAAATAATTGGCAAAGTTTGTCTAAAATCTCCTGAAAGCAAAATAACTTTACCGCCGAATGGTTTATTACATTGTGTTATATCTCGCAACATAGTCTCCATAGCTTGTAAAGCAAATTTAGGTGCCATCGTAATTTCATCCCAAATTATAATTTTGGCATTTTTTAAAAGTTCAGCGTGTTTTGACATTCTACTTATATTACATGTTGAATCTTCATTGATTGGAATAGGAAATTTAAAAACTGAATGTGAGGTTCGTCCACCTCTTAAAAGATTAGCTGCTATACCAGTCCAAGCAACTGCTAAAACTACTAATTCTTGACTTTCAAGAGTAGCAATAATTGTATTTTCTAAATAACTTTTACCACAACCACCAGGTGCAGAAACAAAAAAGTACCTATTTTTGCAATCATCATTATGTATTGCTGCCATGACATCATCAAAAATTTTGCGCTGATCATTGTTCAAACTTTTAATAAGTACTTCACTTTCTTCTTTGAGCAATTTTAATGATAGTTCATTAGCTTTCTTGTCGACAGAAATATAATCGTCGATAATTTTTTGATCAATATTTGGTAAACCAAATTTATTTAGAGAAAATCCATGAAAATTAAGCACTTCATTAATTAATATTAACGCTTTTTGAGTTGCTACTTCTACAGGTACATTATTATCAAAAACCATGTGTTCTTTGTACTTATTCCATAAATCAATTGCATTCACAGGCAATCCAAACACACATATATATGCAAATAGACGACAAAGTTCTTTAGGAAATTTCATGCTTACAGCTTCAGCCAAACAATTATCCCATTCACTATCATCTACTATCAAATTTCGTGCACGCACTGCTTCTACAAAAGTATTGTATGTAATACCTTCATATGTTCTTACATCTTCAAATGATTTAGCACCACGTACATAAAGTAGTAAGACTCTCAAAAAATATCTTTCAACATCTTTCGGACTTACAAAATACATGCGGCAAATTATAGGTTTGGTAATTCGTTCCCTTATTTTCCAAGTTTTTGATGATTCAACGAAAACATACTTATGTGGTATTTCTGTGTACAAATACTTGCGTGCTTCAGGATTTTCTCGATTTAATTTGAACCATGCTGTTAATGTCGTATTTTTAAATTTATTAACTGCTTCTTCTTCTAATCCTTCTTTAAAACATATTAATTGCTGATTTGGTAAATGTACAGCTAATCTATAAGTTGTATGTGATTGTTCATGCATATTGAATTCGAATAATCTGTGCATAGCTTCTGGTGGACATACATAACGTGTGTTTAAATAATTAACAATTTCATCATATTTCATTTCCTCATTATCATCCTTATAACCTATTATTGCACAGTCATGACCTTTATACATATATTTGAATAAATATTTAATGCCATCTGTACTACCACATGGTATAACACAAATATGACCTTCAAATTTTTTACTCAAATACAGATTATATGGTACGATCATCGAATTGTCAGCGGTACATTTAATTGACCCATCTTTGTTATAAAAAATGATTTTTTTACCATCATTTCTTCGCCTGAGTTCCGGATAATTCTTAGAACCATAAGTTGTTTCAGAACAAAACGGCTTTGGATAGTTTTTTGTACAAACTTTCTTCTCAGGGTCCATGCAAGGTGAATTCATATTTTCTTTTCTACAAGGCCCATGAACTTGAAATTGCTTTACAATCTTAAAAAGTTCTGGATTCTTTGTTTCATCTGGAATTTCAGCACATATCATTTTATGTAAAGTTTCTGCATCGCGAATTGGATTACGTAAAAATATAATTAAATGCACATGTGGCAATCCACGCTTTTGAAATTCTATGACATAAACAAAAGCAAGAATTGGTCCAAAAATTTCTTTTTCTTTTATATCTTTCATTATCTCTTTCACTTTTTGTTGAAAAACTCTAGTCACAATATCCGGACGATCAGATGCAATTTCAATATCCAACAAATTTTCTGTAATCTCACGCCACTTTGGATTACATGTCATGGTAATAAATAAATTTGGTTTTCCAAATTCTTGAACTAATCGCATAGCATCCATAAAACATTGTTGATAACAACGTGGCCCTCCAATAAATGTCGAAGGTAAAACAATCATTTTTCCAAGTCGAACATTTTCATTTTTTGCTTTATTACGAACATAATCCATTAATCCACAATACAATTCCGCTCGAAGTTTTTTTTGTTGTAAACGAATGTATTTTAAACGTTCACCTTCTACTTTCGACCAGACATCAACTACATATTGTTGAGTTAATTTTCCTAATTGTAAACATGGATTAAAAGTTCTTCTACATGCAAGACGATACATATAAAATTGTAAAGGAGTAACATTTCGAGTACCTTGAGTATGCTTAAGGTTAACAGTCCATCCAGGATCACCATGAGGAAAAATTAAAGGATATGTCATGGGATCAACATTTTCGCTAAGACTAGATATTGGAATACTCTTTAAACCTTTTGGGTGTATACATATATCACGTTCCATAGGAGGTTCACCATCTTCGCTAACAAATACAAGTGCTACTTCACTACAAGATGGAACATTAAATTTGCTTTGATTCAATGATCTATCTCGTTTAATCCACATTTGAATATTCCTTATAGGCTCATTTTTAGATTTTGCTAGTGCTTCTTCTTCTAATTCTACCTCTCTCATCATTTTAAAAGCTTTAGCATAAGGATTAATTTCCCTTAATAATTTGTCTATTTCTTCCATTAATGATGATAAACATTTCTTATTAGATTTATTCTTTAATCGTTCAAGTACTGCTTCATTAGTGTCAATAATGTACAACTGACCATATTTTCGATTGTCATCACCATCGGGATGAAGGGCATATGTATTATGATACACTTGTCCATGTACACGATAAATATAAGGCCCATTTCCTTTAGGAATTTCTAATTTTGCTCCTATGCTGGCGAATGCTAAGGAATTATTATAAGAACGAATATTTTCTTTATAATTTTTACCTTCAAAGCTTGAATCAAATAACAAAGTTTTTAAATAAAGCGGATAAGGATTTAATACTTTCAACTTTACTTTTCCTTTGTGACAGCAACTATTAAATAATCTATCTGACGGCCTTTCACACAAAAAATGTAACGCACTACAAAACTTACATTCTACATTCATCAAACCTAAATAATTCTGTGAAACTTTACTTTCATCGAAATCTTCAAAGGACATAATTGCTACTCCTACAGTGTCTAACTTTTTTTCATTTTTCTTATCGTTTTTACATGCCAAATTCTTTTTTTGACGCACTTTCTTTTCATCCTCAGTTTCTGTATCTAATTTCTTCCTCTTACGTAACAAATCTTTTTCTTTGTGCACTTTCTTTTCATCCTCAGTTTCTTTAGATAATTTCTTCCTCTTATATGCCACATTTCTTTCTTTGCGTATTTTCTTTTCATCCTCAGTTTCTGTAGCTAATTTCTTCCTCCTACATGCCGCATTTTTTTCTTTGCGTATTTTCTTTTCATCTTCATTTTCTGTAGATAATTTTTTTCTCTTATATGCCAAATTTCTTTCTTTTCGTATTTTCTTTTCATCCTCAATTTCTATTGAAAGTTTCTTCTTTTTGCATGTCAAATCTCTTTTTTGGAGTTCTATTTTTGGAATTTCTGTTTCATTACGATTATCTTTTGTCAGTCTATTATGCTCTTCTATAATTATTTTCTGCACATCATATTTTCTTGCACAAAGTATTTTCTTATCATTTTCTTCACTTAGGAAATGCTTCATTTCTAAATATTTACGTGGTGAAACTTTATTTACATTATTATTAGTTGCACCAATTCTTTTCTTTTCACTTGCGTCATTCAAAGAACGTTTAATTTCTAATTGTTGTGTTGATATAACTCTATTTGCATTATTATTTATAAAACTGTTATAAAAATATGAAGGGTTTAATCCAGCAGTTTGAAGTTCTTCAGCTCGATTTATTAAAAGACAATTCCAATCATCCTCTACAATTGAATTTCTAATAATTGACGATCTCACTGAGGGGAAAGGATTCAACCGATTATTTTCAAAAATTAATTTCAAATGTTTTCTCATTCTATCATTATCAGTTTCATAAATTACACTGTTTGGCATTATGTTGAAAAATACAGATGTTGCAAATGCTATTGCATATACTCCACACTCAACACTTCCAACCGGTTGTTGATCAACAGCTACAAAAACTACTGTTGGTTTAAAAGGGAACAATCTAATTAAATATTCTATTTGATGAATATTCAAACACCCTGCATTAAGGCTATCAAAAATATAAAGTCTTACTCCATCGTAATAAACACAAATCCAATGACCAGAATTGTTATTACCGCTAAAAACTATTTGAATATGTTTATCTCCTTCTCTAATTGGAACAATTAAATCAAGCAATTGTAAATACAAAGTACTTTGCATAGTGAAAAAAGAATTTGAATCATTTTTTAATAATTCTTGAAATTTATACATATGCATATCATTTAACATTTCATTTACATTTTCAATAATCTTAAAATCTTCATTACTTAAAGTAAAATACTCTTTTATGTTTGACATGGTATCCTCCTTCAACTTTTAAACTACCGATAAAGTCACTTTTCAAAACAAATCTTTTATTTTAGTTTCTGGCTTTAAAAAATGTACTTACATGTGTTTCACCTATAAAATATTTCATTAACTATTATTCAGCTAACAAATGCAACAATGATAGGCTTATATGAATGTGAATTAGCGTTGTTAAATCTTTATCCACATTACATCATTTTCTATAATGATTATTATTTTACTTATTTTCCTCTGCTCTTTTTATTAATATTCAAATCAATATTCTACTCACAAACTATTATTTCACCCATAAAACCACTTCAACCCTTAAAACAATATTCAACCCTCTTTCTTTCTATTTCAATATTTTTCCAAAAGCCAGCATCCACTATTATCAAACAGTCAATATTTTTTTCCAATATCGAAATATATTCAATACTAATGTTATCTTATATCATATTTTATTATCCTCAAAATCCAAATATCTTTAATGCCAAAATTATCCAATACCAAAAAATTTTTCCAAAAACCAACTTCCACTATGGTCAAATAATCAATATTTTTTTTCCAATATCAAAATATTTTTCTTTAATACCACAATATTTTCAATACCAATGTTATCCAATATCTTTCTTTATCCTCAAAATCGTAATATCTTTAATGCCAAAATTATACAATACCAAAAAATTTTTCCAAAATCCAGCTTCCACTATTATCAAACAATCAATATTTTTGTTCCATTATCAAAATAGATTCATTAATAATGTTATCCAATATCTTTCTTTATCCTCAAATTCGTAATATCTTTAATGCCAATGTTATCCAATACCAAAAAAAAATGGATTAAAGTATTTTTTATATGAAATTTTCGATAATGATTATTATTTAACTTATTTTCCTCTGCTCTTTTTATTAATATTCAAATCAATATTCAACTCACAAACTATTATTTAACCCTTAAAACAATATTCAACCCTCTTTCTTTCTATTTAAATACTTTTCCAAAAGCCAGCATCCACTATTATCAATCAGTCAACATTTTTTTACAATATCGAAATATATTCAATACTAATGTTATCTTATATCATATTTTATTATCCTCAAAATCCAAATATCTTTAATGCCAAAATTATCCAATACCAAAAAATTTTACCAAAAACCAACTTCCATTATGGTCAAATAAGCAATACTTTTTTTTCCAATATCAAAATATCTTTCATACCAATGTCATCCAATATCTTTCTTTATCCTCAAATTCGTAATATCTTTAATGCCAATGTTATCCAATACCAAAATAAATTAATGGATTGAAGTATTTTCTATATGAAACATTTAAGACAACCAAAAGAAACAAATATCAAACAGTCAATATTTTTTTAAATAATAATAATGTAATATAATTTAAGAAGATTAAGGGGGGAACACCAGTTGTAACTCAAGAAATAATGCTTTTTACAAGAATATTTTCCAAAAGAACAATGAATCTTTTTAAAGAATACTATTTATTAGTTAAAAGTACATGTTAAAAGCTGTAATTTAAAAGAAAAAAAAATTTTTTTTAACAAAAACTTTTAGAGATATGAGCCATTGAAGTGGCGCCTTAAGAAAAAAGGCGAATTGCGGTGACCAGCATTCTGCAAGTATACTTCGTCTGAAATACAAAAATGAAATTGATTTACATTTATTATAAGATTATCTAGTTCGTGATCGAAGGATTTAAAAAAAAAAAAAAATTTGACAAAATGGCGACCTGTCAAAGTCAAAAGTCTAATTTTCGTTAAAAAAATACGGTCGATTTTCAGCTATATAAAAAAAAGTTTTGCATAAAAAAAAAATCCTTCGATCACGAACTAGACTTATATGTGTAAATGAAGCACATTAAATTTTAAATAAATCGGTTTCATGGTATTCGAGTAATCGTGGTCACCGACTTGGAAAATGTCATTTTGAGAAAAACGCATTCAAAGTTTCAACTTACTTTTTTTTGTTCAGAAGAAATTTTGTTTCCAATTTACAAAGAGTCATCGATTCCTGGACCATATAATAACTCTTCCGCAGTGGTTGCCGTTTCTAAATCATAGGAAAAGGCCATCTGTCGTTAGGGTCAGGTATGGCTGGCCACCTTGTCTGAAGCCACGGGACGCGCCGCTGCAGTGTTCTGTATATCTCATTTATTTTTCACCGGATCAAGTTTAAAATTTACAGACACATTTCTAAATATGTATACTTTAAGAAAATGCAAAAAAAAAATAATCGATTTTTCGAAAGTTACAACTGGTGTTCCCCCCTTAAACACATGCACTAAGTTATAATATAATATCTATATAATAATCAAGTTCAGTTACCTGAGACTATTAGAAGCATTTTTTTAGCGACACTACTGCAATGTTGTTGCAACGGTAGACGGTTGCTCTATGTTTATCTTACATCAGCAGTAGCCGTTTCACTCCATTGAGGAGAAGTGTTATACCCCCACTCTACCAATCTGGGCCTATATTAAGTTCTCGCGAGTGGCAGATATTACGGTAGGCCTGAGTGGCGTCCTCGGGGATAGGTGTTGGTAAGTTAAGTATGAATACACCACTTCCACTCACGGGGATTAAACGGTTATCATCTATATCGCATATACAATAATAAAAAAAATTCCCTCAACCCAAGACTGTTAGGACGAATCGAGCGATCACGGATTGGGTCCTGAAAAGGGAAGTGGTATATCCTCACTCTATCGGCCTGTCCCGGGCTCATACCTCGAGTAAGTCAATTACAGCGTGGGCCTGTATGACGTTCTCGGGCTTAATGACAACATTATTTTATGACGCTTAATGAGTTTTTCAAAAAAAAACACAACCCCATATTCCTATGTTTTTGGGGTCGCTGAAACCGAATATGACCATGAACAATTTTTTTGACGACCCATTTTCCCGCAACCACCCCTTGCACCTACTCACGGGGGTTGGAGTTTCAAATTAAAAAAAAATTGAGTATGGTGTCTATTCCAATGTTTTTTGGGTCGCTTCATCCCAAAAACACCATTGAAAACAAATCCTTTCTTTCCTTAACCCCGTACAACCCTCTGGGAGGGGGTTAAAATTTTAAATTTCACAAAAAGTCAAGTTCGGTGTCTAATCCTACGTTTCTTGGGGCGCTGAAATCAAAAAACACCACCAAAAACAAATTCTTTACCCCCTTAACCAGCTAGAACCCCTGGGAGGGGGTTGGAATATCATTTTTCACGGTGCTAAGTGTAGAAAAATAAATTTCCTTAAGACATTGTAGGTGCGTATTTGTGTAATCATAGGTAACTTTCTAGAAAACTTTATTGTTGGTGATGTTTTTTGGTTTCAGCGACCCAAAAAACATAAGATTAGACACCGTACTCGACTTTTCGTGAAAAATGAAATTCCAACCCCCTCCAGGGGTTGTAGGGGGTTAAAAGGGTAAAGAATGTGTTTTTGTTGGTGTTTTTTGATTTCAGCGACCAAAAAAACATAGGAATAGATACTGTACTCGACTTTTTGTAAAAATTAAAATTCCAACCCCTTCTCAGGGGGTTGTAGGGGGTTAAGGGAGGAAATGACTTGTTTTTGGTGGCGTTTTTCGGTTTCAGCGCCCCAAAAAACATAGGATTAAACACCGTACTCGAATTTTCGTGAACAATGAAATTCCAACTCCCTCCCAGGGGTTGTAGGGCGTTAAGGATTTGTTTTTAGTGGTGTTTTTGGGATGAAGCGACCCAAAAAACATTGGAATAGACACCATACTCAATTTTTTTTAATTTGAAACTCCAACCCCCGTGAGTAGGTGCAAGGGGGTGGTTGCGGGAAAATGGGTCGTCAAAAAAAATTTTCATGGTCATATACGGTTTCAGCGACCCCTTTCATTACAGTATTTAAAAGGTCATCGACCATCTTATGAACCCTCAACCAAAAGCTGTTTTGACAACAAAAATTTCAGGTAGAAACCTTCGAGAACCCTAATTATCAAAGTAAAGATATAATATGTATATATAATCTAATAATAATGAGAAAATTCAAGTACTAAGAAAATGTGAATGACTGACGGAATGAATACAAAGATTATTATACTATAATTTATGATTTAAATTAATATCTTATTAATATTGTATAAAATTTATCTTAATTTTGATCAGTTTCATTGAAGGATGAAATGACAATTGTTAAATATTAGATTTTTTTTATTATAATTATGACAACAATATTAATTATATTATATTATAATATATTTTTTTTATCTTAAATTATATTATATTATATTGATGTAAATTGTCCCACAAACACATGTAGATTTTGCAAATTTTTGAGAAAAATATTCGTAATAAATCGAAATACTTTTTAAAATATCGGTTTTTATTTTTATTATCTATAGTAAACCGTTATAAAGAGATTCTTCTTTGATTTTACATATATTACTAGTTCTCCGGAATAATGATGTATTTGAATTAAATAATGATGTTGTTAAACGAATGACAGGTGAACCTAGAGAATATTTAAGTATAGATTCATCTGAAGAAGATGAAAAGTGTGACACAATAACTAACTTAATACCAATTGAAGTATTAAATATTTTAACTCCAAATGGACTTCCTCCTCACAAATTAATATTAAAGATTGGTGCAATTGTGATACTGTTAAGGAATATTAATTTAGAAAGAGGTCTTTGTAATGGAACAAGACTAAAAGTTATTAAAATGGGTAGTTTTTCTATTCATGCACAAGTAATAACGGGAAATTATAAAATTGAGATTGTAATTTTGCCACGAATTACATTGTCACCGTCTAACGAAGAAATACCATTTCAAATGTCAAGAAAGCAATTTCCAATAAGGCTTGGATTTGCTTTAACAATCAACAAATCTCAAGGCCAATCTTTCCAAAAAGTAGGCATATACCTTCCTTCACATGTTTTTAGTCCGTGACAATTATATGTTGCATTATCAAGAGTAACTTCAAAATATAATCTTAAAGTATTATTATATAAAAATTCAAGTATTACACTTAGCGAAAAAGGAATAAAAAAAAGATAGGCAATGAAAAAGAAATTTATGTAAGAAACATTGTTTACCAAGAAATATTACAATAATATTTAACACATGTTTTAAAAAAATTCGACTACGAAGAAATCTACTAACTCTACTTTATAAATAAATTAATTCATTGAATTGGAAATGGCTGCGCTGAACTGTAACGGCAGCGCCATAAAAAAATATTATAATTATTATTATACTGATCATATCGCATAGAAAGGATTAAAAAACCATTTAAAAGAAAAAAATATATAACATATAATCAAGTAATAACAAAAACTGTAAACTGGCTGCGCTGAGTAGTAACGGCTGCGTAACATAACGAAAATAATATAATAAATTATAATAATTTATTAATAACATCACTCATATGAAAATGAATTATAAAAAATTAATTTAAAAATTAATAAGAAATAAAACAACTTACGATAATTGCAGAATGGATGCGATGAATAAGTTAAAACATATTATAACTTTACATTATTGTAAATGAAAATTAAGTATTAAAAATAAAAAAAATCAATATTTTTCTAAGTCCCTAATTTTTTTGGACTTATAAAAAAAATAGTTAGTAAGATTTTCTAACAGCATATATGCAAAGTATTTTGATTTATTTGAAAATAATTGAAAATAGATTTTTCAAGGACGGTGTCGAGGTCAAAGGGTCGGTGTCGTTTTTCGAAATTTGTTAACTTAATATAATAGAAGATGTTTCGTTTTAAATTAAGAAATGTTAAAATTATTAAGCTAAAAACATTTGATTTTAATGACACTTAAAATTAGACACAATATTAAAGGTTACTAACTAAAAATTAAAAAAACAACAATAAATAATAAAAAATAATAATAAAAAATTGAAAAAATCAAAAAATTCTTAAAAAATTGCAAAATAACCCTTTTTTGGGTTAAAATTGCAAAATAACCCTTTTTCGGGTTTAAATTGAAAAATAACCCTTTTTCGAGTTAAAATTGAAAAATAACCCTTTTTCGGGTTAAAATTGAAAAAAGATGTTACATAAAAAAAGTTTGTAAGATTTTCTAACAGCATATATGCAAAGTATTTTGATTTATTTGAAAATAATTGAAAATAGATTTTTCAAGGACTGTGTCGAGGTAACGGGGTCGGTGTCGTTTTTCGAAATTTGTTAACTTAATATAATAGAAGATATTTCGTTTTAAATTAAGAAATGTTAAAATTATTAAGTTAAAAACATTTGATTTTAATGACACTTAAAATTAGACACAATATTATAGGTTACTAACTAAAAATTAAAAAAAAACAATAAATAATAAAAAATAATAATAAAAAATTGAAAAAATTAAAAAATTCTAAAAAAATTGCAAAATAACCCTTTTTCGGGTTAAAATTGAAAAATAACCCTTTTTCGGGTTAAAATTGAAAAAAGATGTTACATAAAAAAAGTTTGTAAGATTTTCTAACAGCATATATGCAAAGTATTTTGATTTATTTGAAAATAATTGAAAATAGATTTTTCAAGGACGGTGTCGAGGTCACGGGGTCGGTGTCGTTTTTCGAAATTTGTTAACTTAATATAATAGAAGATGTTTCGTTTTAAATTAAGAAATGTTAAAATTATTAAGCTAAAAACATTTGATTTTAATGACACTTAAAATTAGACACAATATTAAAGGTTACTAACTAAAAATTAAAAAAACAACAATAAATAATAAAAAATTGAAAAAATCAAAAAATTCTTAAAAAATTGCAAAATAACCCTTTTTCGGGTTAAAATTGCAAAATAACCCTTTTTCGGGTTAAAATTGAAAAATAACCCTTTTTCAGGTTAAAATTGAAAAATAACCCTTTTTCGGGTTAAAATTGAAAAAAGATGTTACATAAAAAAAGTTTGTAAGATTTTCTAACAGCATATATGCAAAGTATTTTGATTTATTTGAAAATAATTGAAAATAGATTTTTCAAGGACTGTGTCGAGGTCACGGGGTCGGTGTCGTTTTTCGAAATTTGTTAACTTAATATAATAGAAGATGTTTCGTTTTAAATTAAGAAATGTTAAAATTATTAAGTTAAAAACATTTGATTTTAATGACACTTAAAATTAGACACAATATTATAGGTTACTAACTAAAAATTGAAAAAACAACAATAAATAATAAAAAATAATAATAAAAAATTGAAAAAATTAAAAAATTCTAAAAAAATTGCAAAATAACCCTTTTTCGGGTTAAAAGTGAAAAAAGATGTTACATAAAAAAAGTTTGTAAGATTTTCTAACACCATATATGCAAAGTATTTTGATTTATTTGAAAATAATTGAAAATAGATTTTTCAAGGACGGTGTCGAGGTCAAAGGGTCGGTGTCGTTTTTCGAAATTTGTTAACTTAATATAATAGAAGATGTTTCGTTTTAAATTAAGAAACGTTAAAATTATTAAGTTAAAAACATTTGATTTTAATGACACTTAAAATTAGACACAATATTAAAGGTTACTAACTAAAAATTAAAAAAACAACAATAAATAATAAAAAATAATAATAAAAAATTGAAAAAATCAAAAAATTCTTAAAAAATTGCAAAATAACCCTTTTTCGGGTTAAAATTGCAAAATAACCCTTTTTCGGGTTTAAATTGAAAAATAACCCTTTTTCGAGTTAAAATTGAAAAATAACCCTTTTTCGGGTTAAAATTGAAAAAAGATGTTACATAAAAAAAGTTTGTAAGATTTTCTAACAGCATATATGCAAAGTATTTTGATTTATTTGAAAATAATTGAAAATAGATTTTTCAAGGACGGTGTCGAGGTCACGGGGTCGGTGTCGTTTTTCGAAATTTGTTAACTTAATATAATAGAAGATGTTTCGTTTTAAATTAAGAAATGTTAAAATTATTAAGCTAAAAACATTTGATTTTAATGACACTTAAAATTAGACACAATATTAAAGGTTACTAACTAAAAATTAAAAAAACAACAATAAATAATAAAAAATAATAATAAAAAATTGAAAAAATCAAAAAATTCTTAAAAAATTGCAAAATAACCCTTTTTCGGGTTAAAATTGAAAAAAGATGTTACATAAAAATAGTTTGTAAGATTTTCTAACAGCATATATGCAAAGTATTTTGATTTATTTGAAAATAATTGAAAATAGATTTTTCAAGGACGGTGTCGAGGTCACGGGGTCGGTGTCGTTTTTCGAAATTTGTTAACTTAATATAATAGAAGATGTTTCGTTTTAAATTAAGAAATGTTAAAATTATTAAGCTAAAAACATTTGATTTTAATGACACTTAAAATTAGACACAATATTAAAGGTTACTAACTAAAAATTAAAAAAACAACAATAAATAATAAAAAATAATAATAAAAAATTGAAAAAATCAAAAAATTCTTAAAAAATTGCAAAATAACCCTTTTTTGGGTTAAAATTGCAAAATAACCCTTTTTCGGGTTCAAATTGAAAAATAACCCTTTTTCGGGTTAAAATTGAAAAATAACCCTTTTTCGGGTTAAAATTGAAAAAAGATGTTACATAAAAAAAGTTTGTAAGATTTTCTAACAGCATATATGCAAAGTATTTTGATTTATTTGAAAATAATTGAAAATAGATTTTTCAAGGACTGTGTCGAGGTAACGGGGTCGGTGTCGTTTTTCGAAATTTGTTAACTTAATATAATAGAAGATGTTTCGTTTTAAATTAAGAAATGTTAAAATTATTAAGTTAAAAACATTTGATTTTAATGATACTTAAAATTAGACACAATATTATAGGTTACTAACTAAAAATTGAAAAAAAAACAATAAATAATAAAAAATAATAATAAAAAATTGAAAAAATTAAAAAATTCTAAAAAAATTGCAAAATAACCCTTTTTCGGGTTAAAATTGAAAAATAACCCTTTTTCGGGTTAAAATTGAAAAAAGATGTTACATAAAAAAAGTTTGTAAGATTTTCTAACAGCATATATGCAAAGTATTTTGATTTATTTGAAAATAATTGAAAATAGATTTTTCAAGGACGGTGTCGAGGTCACGGGGTCGGTGTCGTTTTTCGAAATTTGTTAACTTAATATAATAGAAGATGTTTCGTTTTAAATTAAGAAATGTTAAAATTATTAAGCTAAAAACATTTGATTTTAATGACACTTAAAATTAGACACAATATTAAAGGTTACTAACTAAAAATTAAAAAAACAACAGTAAATAATAAAAAATAATAATAAAAAATTGAAAAAATCAAAAAATTCTTAAAAAATTGCAAAATAACCCTTTTTTGGGTTAAAATTGCAAAATAACACTTTTTCGGGTTAAAATTGAAAAATAACCCTTTTTCAGGTTAAAATTGAAAAATAACCCTTTTTCGGGTTAAAATTGAAAAAAGATGTTACATAAAAAAAGTTTGTAAGATTTTCTAACAGCATATATGCAAAGTATTTTGATTTATTTGAAAATAATTGAAAATAGATTTTTCAAGGACTGTGTCGAGGTCACGGGGTCGGTGTCGTTTTTCGAAATTTGTTAACTTAATATAATAGAAGATGTTTCGTTTTAAATTAAGAAATGTTAAAATTATTAAGTTAAAAACATTTGATTTTAATGACACTTAAAATTAGACACAATATTATAGGTTACTAACTAAAAATTGAAAAAACAACAATAAATAATAAAAAATAATAATAAAAAATTGAAAAAATTAAAAAATTCTAAAAAAATTGCAAAATAACCCTTTTTCGGGTTAAAATTGCAAAATAACCCTTTTTCGGGTTAAAATTGAAAAATAACCCTTTTTCGGGTTAAAATTGAAAAAAGATGTTACATAAAAAAAGTTTGTAAGATTTTCTAACACCATATATGCAAAGTATTTTGATTTATTTGAAAATAATTGAAAATAGATTTTTCAAGGACGGTGTCGAGGTCACGGGGTCTGTGTCGTTTTTCGAAATTTGTTAACTTAATATAATAGAAGATGTTTCGTTTTAAATTAAGAAATGTTAAAATTATTAAGCTAAAAACATTTGATTTTAATGACACTTAAAATTAGACACAATATTAAAGGTTACTAACTAAAAATTAAAAAAACAACAATAAATAATAAAAAATAATAATAAAAAATTGAAAAAATCACAAAATTCTTAAAAAATTGCAAAATAACCCTTTTTCGGGTTAAAATTGAAAAATAACCCTTTTTCGGGTTAAAATTGAAAAAAGATGTTACATAAAAAAAGTTTGTAAGATTTTCTAACAGCATATATGCAAAGTATTTTGATTTATTTGAAAATAATTGAAAATAGATTTTTCAAGGACGGTGTCGAGGTCACGGGGTCGGTGTCGTTTTTCGAAATTTGTTAACTTAATATAATAGAAGATGTTTCGTTTTAAATTAAGAAATGTTAAAATTATTAAGCTAAAAACATTTGATTTTAATGACACTTAAAATTAGACACAATATTAAAGGTTACTAACTAAAAATTAAAAAAACAACAATAAATAATAAAAAATAATAATAAAAAATTGAAAAAATCAAAAAATTCTAAAAAAATTGCAAAATAACCCTTTTTCGGGTTAAAATTGAAAAATAATTCTTTTTCGGGTTAAAATTGAAAAAAGATGTTACATAAAAAAAGTTTGTAAGATTTTCTAACAGCATATATGCAAAGTATTTTGATTTATTTGAAAATAATTGAAAATAGATTTTTCAAGGACGGTGTCGAGGTCACGGGGTCGGTGTCGTTTTTCGAAATTTGTTAACTTAATATAATAGAAGATAGATTTTTCAAGGACGGTGTCGAGGTCACGGGGTCGGTGTCGTTTTTCGAAATTTGTTAACTTAATATAATAGAAGATGTTTCGTTTTAAATTAAGAAATGTTAAAATTATTAAGCTAAAAACATTTGATTTTAATGACACTTAAAATTAGACACAATATTATAGGTTACTAACTAAGAATTGAAAAAACAACAATAAATAATAAAAAATAATAATAAAAAATTGAAAAAATTAAAAAATTCTAAAAAAATTGCAAAATAACCCTTTTTCGGGTTAAAATTGAAAAATAACCCTTTTTCGGGTTAAAATTGAAAAAAGATGATACATAAAAAAAGTTTGTAAGATTTTCTAACAGCATATATGCAAAGTATTTTGATTTATTTGAAAATAATTGAAAATAGATTTTTCAAGGACGGTATTGAGGTCACGGGGTCGGTGTCGTTTTTCGAAATTTGTTAACTTAATATAATAGAAGATGTTTCGTTTTAAATTAAGAAATGTTAAAATTATTAAGCTAAAAACATTTGATTTTAATGACACTTAAAATTAGACACAATATTATAGGTTACTAACTAAAAATTAAAAAAACAACAATAAATAATAAAAAATAATAATAAAAAATTGAAAAAATCAAAAAATTCTTAAAAAATTGCAAAATAACCCTTTTTCGGGTTAAAATTGAAAAAAGATGTTACATAAAAAAAGTTTGTAAGATTTTCTAACAGCATATATGCAAAGTATTTTGATTTATTTGAAAATAATTGAAAATAGATTTTTCAAGGACGGTGTCGAGGTCACGGGGTCGGTGTCGTTTTTCGAAATTTGTTAACTTAATATAATAGAAGATGTTTCGTTTTAAATTAAGAAATGTTAAAATTATTAAGCTAAAAACATTTGATTTTAATGACACTTAAAATTAGACACAATATTATAGGTTACTAACTAAAAATTGAAAAAACAACAATAAATAATAAAAAATAATAATAAAAAATTGAAAAAATCAAAAAATTCTAAAAAAATTGCAAAATAACCCTTTTTCGGGTTAAAATTGAAAAAAGATGTTACATAAAAAAAGTTTGTAAGATTTTCTAACAGCATATATGCAAAGTATTTTGATTTATTTGAAAATAATTGAAAATAGATTTTTCAAGGACGGTGTCGAGGTCACGGGGTCGGTGTCGTTTTTCGAAATTTGTTAACTTAATATAATAGAAGATGTTTCGTTTTAAATTAAGAAATGTTAAAATTATTAAGCTAAAAATATTTGATTTTAATGACACTTAAAATTAGACACAATATTAAAGGTTACTAACTAAAAATTAAAAAAACAACAATAAATAATAAAAAATAATAATAAAAAATTGAAAAAATCAAAAAATTCTTAAAAAATTGCAAAATAACCCTTTTTCGGGTTAAAATTGAAAAAAGATGTTACATAAAAAAAGTTTGTAAGATTTTCTAACAGCATATTTGCAAAGTATTTTGATTTATTTGAAAATTATTGAAAATAGATTTTTCAAGGACGGTGTCGAGGTCACGGGGTCGGTGTCGTTTTTCGAAATTTGTTAACTTAATATAATAGAAGATGTTTCGTTTTAAATTAAGAAATGTTAAAATTATTAAGCTAAAAACATTTGATTTTAATGACACTTAAAATTAGACACAATATTATAGGTTACTAACTAAAAATTGAAAAAACAACAATAAATAATAAAAAATAATAATAAAAAATTGAAAAAATCAAAAAATTCTTAAAAAATGGCAAAATAACCCTTTTTCGGGTTAAAATTGAAAAAAGATGTTACATAAAAATAGTTTGTAAGATTTTCTAACAGCATATATGCAAAGTATTTTGATTTATTTGAAAATAATTGAAAATAGATTTTTCAAGGACGGTGTCGAGGTCACGGGGTCGGTGTCGTTTTTCGAAATTTGTTAACTTAATATAATAGAAGATGTTTCGTTTTAAATTAAGAAATGTTAAAATTATTAAGTTAAAAACATTTGATTTTAATGACACTTAAAATTAGACACAATATTATAGGTTACTAACTAAAAATTGAAAAAACAACAATAAATAATAAAAAATAATAATAAAAAATTGAAAAAATTAAAAAATTCTAAAAAAATTGCAAAATAACCCTTTTTCGGGTTACAATTGAAAAATAACCCTTTTTCGGGTTAAAATTGAAAAAAGATGTTACATAAAAAAAGTTTGTAAGATTTTCTAACAGCATATATGCAAAGTATTTTGATTTATTTGAAAATAATTGAAAATAGATTTTTCAAGGACTGTGTCGAGGTCACGGGGTCGGTGTCGTTTTTCGAAATTTGTTAACTTAATATAATAGAAGATGTTTCGTTTTAAATTAAGAAATGTTAAAATTATTAAGTTAAAAACATTTGATTTTAATGACACTTAAAATTAGACACAATATTATAGGTTACTAACTAAAAATTGAAAAAACAACAATAAATAATAAAAAATAATAATAAAAAATTGAAAAAATTAAAAAATTCTAAAAAAATTGCAAAATAACCCTTTTCCGGGTTAAAATTGAAAAATAACCCTTTTTCGGGTTAAAATTAAAAAAAGATGTTACATAAAAAAAGTTTGTAAGATTTTCTAACAGCATATATGCAAAGTATTTTGATTTATTTGAAAATAATTGAAAATAGATTTTTCAAGGACGGTGTCGAGGTCACGGGGTCGGTGTCGTTTTTCGAAATTTGTTAACTTAATATAATAGAAGATGTTTCGTTTTAAATTAAGAAATGTTAAAATTATTAAGTTAAAAACATTTGATTTTAATGACACTTAAAATTAGACACAATATTATAGGTTACTAACTAAAAATTGAAAAAACAACAATAAATAATAAAAAATAATAATAAAAAATTGAAAAAATCAAAAAATTCTAAAAAAATTGCAAAATAACCCTTTTTCGGGTTAAAATTGAAAAATAACCCTTTTTCTGGTTAAAATTGAAAAAAGATGTTACATAAAAAAAGTTTGTAAGATTTTCTAACAGCATATATGCAAAGTATTTTGATTTATTTGAAAATAATTGAAAATAGATTTTTCAAGGACGGTGTTGAGGTCACGGGGTCGGTGTCGTTTTTCGAAATTTGTTAACTTAATATAATAGAAGATGTTTCGTTTTAAATTAAGAAATGTTAAAATTATTAAGCTAAAAACATTTGATTTTAATGACACTTAAAATTAGACACAATATTAAAGGTTACTAACTAAAAATTAAAAAAACAACAATAAATAATAAAAAATAATAATAAAAAATTGAAAAAATCAAAAAATTCTTAAAAAATTGCAAAATAACCCTTTATGTTGAATTTTCGTTTTGCACTTATATTCAATTTATGTTCTGCTTCTATTAAACCATCATAATTAATTAACGCACGTGTGATATTTCCTATTGAATTATCTTTCTTCCCAGCTAATATTGTATTTTTATATATCTTTGCATGACTTTCAGAATAGGCATTACTTATACGTGAAACATTATTATCCACCAAATCTAGCATTAAACCTGAAATTATTGGAGCATATGCTAACAAATTTTTAACTAAAAATCCACCAAAATCATATTTTTCACTACCGTCATCTTTAAGAACTACGACATAATAAGGATTATTAAGGCTTCCTGTAATGTTTGAAGTACAGGTGTCTTTAATTTTTTTCCATTGCATCCAAAAATATTTGTAAAATGGGCTTTTTTCGTAAGTCGCTTGCATATCTGTGTGCACATCTATAAATGTTTCTTCCAATCCATTATTCTCTTCAGTATCAATTAACATTTCTTTTATCTTTTCTGTACATTTGTTCTTGCGTGCTTCCACTATTTTTAACTCTACATCAAGATTAATTATATTTCTTGTGTAAAAAATGGTAAATATGTCAATCATTAGTTGTGTTAATTCACTCATACTTCTACATATAATAATGAGGGCTAAACACTCAATTAAAAACGTTGTAATATTTTCCAATTCTGGCATATCTTCCTTAATAGTTCTAGTAGTTTTTCGTATCAAATGTGCGTTACACGATAATAAAATAATAACTTTACTTGGAAATGGTTTTCTTTCCATTAAATAGTCCCAAGACAGCTTTAAATAAGTTAACATTTTCATACCATCATTCCATTCCATAAGTACACTATTCATAAATACCCAACTCCAATCAGTAACAACAGCTTTAAATAGTGGCCACGTTGTAGTTATTCCAGCTACAAATCTTCGATATTTTTTGAAAACAATTTCTATTGAACATGAATCATGATCAGACGATATAAATTGAAAAAGCACTATTATTGACTCACGTCCTTTAAAGACACATGCATAATAATATAATGATTTGGATTTTAAAAATTGCGGACTTCTACATTTAGCTCCTGTTGCATCAATGTGAACAATTTTTGGGGACAATTCTCGCAAAATGTCTAGTTCTTTTTCCGAAAACAATAAAACTCTTAAAGGCAAAACAACTTCTTGCAGTTTTGGATCATCTTTGTTATGTCTTTCCAAGTATAATTGCATAATATCTCCAATATCTTTTGATTTTAACGTAAGTTTAGTTTTACAACGATCTTCTGTTTCTATTTCATGTAAAACATTTAAACGTGTTGCGTCCTGTGCGTTTCCTTCGTGCGCAAGATGTGAATCAACATTTTTGTTTATTTCCAAATGAGACATTCTCGTTGATCTGTATTTTATCAATTTCCTCATTTCTTGACGTTTTTCACCCCTCAACTGCACAATTGGCACAGTTCTACTGTCAACATCATGTGCCGCAATTAAATCTTTATCACTGCATAGATGAACTTCCATTACATTCTCATCAATCTCAAACAAGTCAAACCGAAACCGGGCACCGTGACTCGGTATAATACAGGTTGCATAGGCAACAAAGTGACAATGTTCATTTGCTCTTATTCCGCTGCGAAAGCGCAAAGGACAATTTATCTCATAACTATCTTTTATTAATCGATAAAGCTCATTTCGTACAAAAGCATCATGAATGTAATAATCAGTACCATCACACCGAACAACTCTTTCTGTCAATATTTCTTTCATTCCAAGATTTACAGTGAAATCAGTTTTCTTATTATCATTTTTTTCAGGTGATTTTCTTTCAACTTTATAATCTAAGTCACTTTGACCATCAACATCTTCTTCAGATTCCACAGATGAATCATCATTTTTTAAAAATATTTTGTTCAATTCTCTTTTACTTCGTCGGTAACTACTGTAACTTTTGTACTCTTTAGGATTCTCATCAATGTAATCATAAATTTTTTCATTTTTACTAGAAACACTATTAGAATCTTTATTATCTTCATCATCGGTGTCATCGTTATTAATACAAGTATTATTTTCATATTGCATATCAGTCGCATAATTGTCGTCATTATTATCACTATCACTTATTTCTTCTGTAGTATCACATTTTTCTTTTTCACAGTATTTTACATTTTTTTCCAAATGCATCATGTCACTATTAATTTCATTATCACTACCAGTAATTTCTTGCAAAACTTGAAAAGATTTTGTTTCGCAATCTGTTTTATGTAAAATGCAATAATTTTTTGTTACTTGAACATCGTCATCAATTGGATTAAAAACATATTTATATAAGTTATCTGCGGATATAGTGTTTATGTTCGCACTTCTTGTAATACCTTTTTCGAATAAAACACATAATAAAACTGTTACCTCATATAAACTTGAAAAAATAGTAAGTTCTAGTTTTCCTCTGTCAGCACTATTCCACTTTCGTTTACTGTAGGTAACAAAACTTTCACTTTTATCAATATCATAAAACCTTTTTTGAATAATGTCCCAATTATCCTGACCGTAACTTAAAATTTCTTTTTCAATTTTATTATACAATTCCTCATCTCCGTATTCCCAATGTGCTAGGCATCTAAACAGACTTTTTCCGTCATTTTTTACTAAAATGATTTGGTGTAACTTTTTCTGATTATGATTCACAATTTTTTCACAGTACATATTATCATTATATGTCTCATTAAAAATTACTTCTTCAGTAGGAACACTAGCAGTTATTTCTTGTATACATTCCGGATAATTGTTTGAAATCACTTTTTCACAGATATTAGTGCTGTTTATATAAGTACTTATTGTTTTGTCAGCTGTACATTTACTTTTTTTCTCCATTGTTTTACGCTTATTTTTTAAATTATCATCATTTAGGTTCTTATTTAATGCATCCCCCGCATTTTGTAAAAGGTTACACTTATCGTTAC